TCCCACCTGAATCCCGCGCAGGCGCATATGCTTCAGAACAACCAATTCCAACAAAACTGTTAGTATTCAACCTCCTAATTGCTTCACGCGATGGTGTGCGAGATTTGAGGTTACGGAACACGCGATCGGCGCTCTCTGCGGTGACTTCTTTTCCCCGCTCTACCTGCATCTCTTCCAGCCGTCTTTCTCGATCGCATACTTACGTCCTAATTAATCTATAGTCGCGAACAATCCCCATCTCTTACACCAACACCAACAACAACAATTAATGCGGCAACGAATGATGCTCCAACACCAGCATCAACAGCAGCACCAGCAGCACCAGCAGCAGCAACAGCAACAGCAACAACAACAGCAGCAGCAACAACAGCAGCAACAGCAACAGCAACAGCAGCAACAACAACAACAGGGTCTCCCCGTATCAATGCCCAATGGTACCCAAGGTCTTAATGCTGCTCAAATGGCTGCAATGCAAGCGAACCCTGGAATGCGACCCGTCAATATGATGCACCTTCAGCAGCAAATGCCACATGGCCAGCCGCCTAGTCTTCAACAGCAACAGCAGTTTTTCGCTATCCAGCAGGCCCAGCAGCAGGCCCAGCAAGCCCAGCAGGCTCAACAGGCTCAGCATGCTCAACAGCAGGCAAATAATGGACAATCAGGCCAACATACCCCACAGCGTGCATCAGCACAGCCCCCGAATATGCACGAACAAAGTGCCACTCCGCAGTCACAGCATGGCGGACCAGGAGGCGGCACACCTCAACCCTCTCAGACCTCTCAGCCGCCATCCACTCAGCCTCCGCAACCGCAGGGCCCGCCTCAAGGCCAGGCAACTCCCAATCCCCCATCGCAGCAATTGCCGCAGTCTCAACAACCCGGTCAGCAGGGACAGCCTGGTCCGCAGCCTCAACCTCCTCAGGGTGCCCAGGGCCAGCAGCCGGGTCCTCAGAATCAGCAGATGACGGCCCAGGAGGTTCAGTTGAAAACACAACAGCACCAGAATGCTCTTATGATGCAGCAACAACAGCAGCAACAGCAAAGGAAGAATAGCGCGATTTTGACCATTCATGCCTATGCTGAGCATCTGGGAAACTTCCAACCCCGCAATGAAACCCAGGATCTTATGTATTGGCAATCGTTTGTCGATCGTTTTTACTCCCCTGTGGGTGTGTTGCGGCAGGGTGTTTGGAATAACACGATTGGATCTAAACAATTCGAAATCGGGACTCCCGCACTAGCACGTTATTATTTGACTCAGTTCACTAGCGGTATTAGTCAAATTCAAATGGTGGTGGAAGGTGCACGTGAACGGGAATCTCAAAATGGAGGGCATTACGTGGAAGCCCCGAAATGTTCATTCATTTATTGGTTCAAGAATGAGTGCCAGGTACATCCCTTGTGACATGATACTCTTCTTTTCAGCTTGCTAATGCCTATCTTTTTAGCTTTTCACCAATGGCACGTTACGCGCGCACTTCGATATGCACAACAAGCTCGAGATGCTCGATGTTAATGTCGTCAGTCACAACGAGTTCATTCCCCGGTCTTTGTTGTTGGCCATGGAGGCGGATTCCCAAAAGCAAAGTCCGAAGGTCTCGAAGAACTCAAAACGTGCTCAGCCTAAACAAGTAGCATCATTAGTGCCAGATTCCAACGTTACTGCCAATGGCGTGCCTACCCCTGTCATGGGATTCATGGAAGTGGCTGAAACCATTTCTGCGATGCAGATGTTGTTCCAATTTTCGCAGGCAAACCCGCAGCTATCACCTCCTGATGCGTTGCGGAATCTTGTCAACACTCTCCAGTCTCAAAACCCCAACCCCGGCTTTGTATCAACTCCCATGCCCATGAACCAAGGCATGAATCCAGCCATGAACCCAGCCATGAATCAGGGTATGAATCCGGGCATGAATCCAGCCATGAATCCAGCCATGCATCAGGGCATGAACCCGGGCATGAATCCGGGTATGAGTCCGGGCATGAGTCCAGGCATGAACCCAGGCATAAGTCCGAGCATGAACCCCGCTATGAACCCAGCCATGAATCCGGGCATGAATCCCGCGATGCACCCAGGCATGAGTCCGGGCATGAATCCAGCCATGCACCCAGGCATGAACCCCGCTATGAATCCGGGTATGAACCCAGGCATGAATCCTGGCATGCAACCCATGCAAAACGTTCGGGGACATAGCATGGGCGCTCCGTCGCAGTTTGCCTCACCGGCCATGGCCCATCTTGGTCTCCCCGGGCAGCAAGGCTCGCCTCATCTGACTGGTTCAGCACATGCGAGCCCAGCCCAAAGTAGCCTTGCCGGTCCTCCTGGGATGCAACCACCAATGCAGCCGTCCCCAGCTGGCGTGAACAACAGTCCAAATGTAGGTGGCAACAAACGTCGCCGGGCAAGCACCGTCAAAATGGAATCCGAGGACGGTGGTGGAGTCGAAGCTAACGGCGCTCCGCAACAGGGCTCAGGGAAAGTAAAGGCTAGCCCTCGGGTGCCGAAGCGACAAAAAGGGCGCCGCCGCCTGATCATGTTGGGAGTTTGGTTTGCTTTCCCTTGCTTTCATTTTCCCCGCCATCTCAAGCGGCGTGGAACCGGCGTACGACTGGATACCTGGGCGAGGCATGTCGCGCCCACTCTTGTTTGTTTACTCCTCATCTAGTTCTTTCGTCCCGTTGAAAGATCTATCTTGCTTTTTGGCACATGACGACTCAATTTACAATCGACGGGATTTAATCAGTGTTTGAGGCCCCCTCCCATTTCCCTTGACTTGGAAGTGGCGTCAGGCCTCATCGATCCTGCTCAACTCCGACCTAATGTACTCTATCTTCCTTTCAGCGTTTCTTTGATTGGCTCGGGATCATCGCCTGACCTTGCATGTTTTCTATTTCTTTCCCGTTCGGTTTTCATTTTGATCCTTCTTGCCATCCATGTCTGGGATTTGACGACTTTTGGATTGGTCTTCGTTTAGGCTTTTGCCCATTGCTCGCTTTTTCCTTGGCAGTCTGTTCATTTTTTCCCATCTGTGAACAGGCAGAACTATTGATATCCGTGTTTGGCGAATGATATGGCGTCCGGCTCTTACGTTTCTTTGGGAACTACGTCTGCGTGCATTGGGGTGTTCTATGTTCCATTTGGCTTGACATCTCTCCCCATTCGGGGCTTATCCTCTTTCTGCCGCTACTTGACGAATCCATAAATACCTGCTTTCCAATCATGATGCATCGTAGCTGTATACTGAAGTATGTCGAAGTATGGGGTCTATAGCGACATATGCAGCGTGGTTGGTATTATTATGAAATCGCTCATTTCGGACATCTTTCGTTGCATATTCCTCGGTATTCCACCATCCATGAATTTCCAACTCTCAATTTATACAAAAATATCCCTCTTAAACCCAGACTGAGCGGCGAACTCGGCGAACTCCATCGGCGAATTGATAATATCGAAGCTCGGCATTCGTTATCATATCAGTTCCCCACATCGGCCTCCCAAGGGATAGAACTGCCCCTCATCTGGACTTTTCTCCAAACATCTTCTAATTTGGCACATCAGCCAACCTTGGAGACTTAAAAAATGGCACACTCTCACTCCCACGATGCTGGAATTGACCACTCCCACGACGACCCCTTCAACGGCCACGGCCATGCACACGATATCCTCGATGGCCCAGGCTCCTACGTCAACCGCGAGATGCCTCTGATCGAAGGCCGAGACTGGAAGGATCGTGCCTTCACTATTGGTATTGGTGGGTATGTATAGAACTTCCCATTCCATTGCAATCAGCGTCTATTTCACCCGGCTCGTGCCAATGCATATGATATCCCCTCAAACCATCACCTATAGATGCATAGCCAGTGACTAACGTGGATCTGGATCCGAATAGACCCGTAGGATCCGGCAAGACAGCCCTGATGCTGGCGCTATCTCGCGCCCTTCGAGACGAGTATAACATCGCCGCTGTGACGAACGATATCTTCACAAGGTAAGGAGAAAATACCCCAACTCCACCTATACACCCCACATCCAAAACAGAACAACAGGACTCATACATTTTCTGTCCGCATACTATACCTACCACATATCTGTAATCTCAATACTAACTACCCTCCCAAAAATAGAGAAGACGCCGAATTCCTAACCCGCCACAAAGCCCTCGCCCCATCCCGCATCCGCGCCATCGAAACAGGTGGCTGCCCCCACGCCGCTGTGCGCGAAGACATCAGCGCAAACCTCCTCGCCCTACAAAAGTTGCAGAAGCAATTCTCAACAGACCTGCTGCTGATCGAGTCCGGGGGTGACAACCTGGCTGCGAACTACTCGCGCGAGCTAGCGGATTTCATCATCTACGTGATTGACGTTGCGGGTGGTGATAAGGTGCCTCGTAAGGGTGGACCTGGAATTACCGGGTCTGATCTGCTTGTTGTGAACAAGATCGATCTTGCTGAAGCTGTTGGAGCGGATCTTGCTGTTATGGAGAGAGATGCGGCGAAGATGAGGGAGGGGGGACCGACCGTTTTTGCAGTTGTTAAGCATGGGAAGGGCATGGATCATATTGTTAATTTGATTATTAGTGCTTGGAAGGGTAGTGGGGCTTATGATGTTAGTTTGCAGAGGTGGAAGGATGGGGCGGTTAGGGGATCTGGGAGTGTTGATGAGTAGATATCTTGCCTAGGTGGTAGGTTTAGGTTGGATAACTCGAGACCATTTGGACGGGAATACGATGCCATTGGAAGGTTATATTTATGAAGTTCAATATATTCAATGTGTTGAAAGTAGATGGTACACACGTTTAACTGCTTTTTCCCTCCGAATACAAAACATATTCCCCGAGAACGCCTGGAATGCAGCTGTCGCCAAATCTCCAATATATCACAGAAGCCGCGTGTGGGCTGGGTATCTGGGTGGTTTTGAGCAGAGGAGGTTTTTTTGGGTGGTTCCTCCACTCCTCCACAAGATGTAGATATCACACAAGCAAGAAACAAACTCAGTGATCTCATTTGGCGAACCGGGATAAAGCCGGTCCCAGATCCAGACGTTCCTGCTTGAGCTTGTCCTTCGTGCGAGCAGCATACTCCTTGCGCAACGTCTCGGCCTTGACACGCTTCTCGTCGATGACATTCTTTCCACCCTTCTTGCGGAGGTACTTACGCAGAGCACTGTTGCGGCCACGACCGCGGTTCTTGATCTTCTCCATATGATCCTCGGGCTTTTGGTCCGGGTTGCGCTGCTCCTGATACTTCTTGTCGCTGACGGTATCGAGCTTTCCAATGATGTTGGGGTCGAGCGAGATCATATCCGGCTGCAATTTGGTGAGCAGCGAGTGGACCTCGTGCTCCTGGCGCTGTCGTACGTTCTCGTAAGGGTTGGCTTCGAGTGAGTCGAAGTTGGGTTCACCGGCGCCGGGAACAATGATACTGGCGAATCCTTGGTCGTGGCCTACGCCGAGAATATCTTCGTATGGGCACCAGCGTACGTTCTCGATGCGCTGGCCGTCTCCGCCCCATGCCATGTATGGGCTCTGCACCTTGCCTTGGTCGGCTTGCGCGGCGTCGAAAAGACCACGCCATACGCTCATTTGAGTGCCCCAGCCAACTGCGGTCAGGCCGCGGTCACTGATCGATACAGATGCGCCGGGCTGGTAGCATGAGTATGAATGCACCTCGCGGTACATGCGGATATCCCACACATTCATCTTTTGGTCTTGGCCTGTAGAGACCATGTAGTGGCCTGTGCGGTCCATTGCCAGTGACCGGACAGGTCCCTGGTGCACGAGTGCCTTTACGAGGGGGTTTGAGAGTTGGGAGACCAAAGGGTCACGGTTCCATTTTGGTGTCCGACATGGAGGATGGCATTCCATGGATTCTGTGCGAGAGCGGTGGGTTTACCTAACCGTGTAGGTAGCTCAGCGACGGTCTGGCCGGTTGAGGTATCTGTGTATTTGAGGTGACCGCTCATTTGCTACATAAAGGGCTGATTAGCTGGGGATCTCAGTAGTCGAATAATCGAAGAAACTCACAGCGCTTGCAAGGAGGAAATGATATGGCAAGAATTCCAGGAAGAGCGGTTCCAGGTGCTTGCTCAGACAATGAATCTCAGTTCCCTGGTGGTCGTAGATATATGTGTGCTTCTTCTGCGCCACGGCGAAGAACTGGTTGTTGTGCAACCAGCGGGCATCCCGCACAGTCTCATTCAACTGTAACTCGCAGCCCAGTTTTCCCTCGCGCCAATCCATCGTCGCAACATGTCCCTTCCGTCCCGCCAGCAGCAGGTCACGTCCGTTCCGAGAGTAGTCCATGCGGTAGGGGCCCATATCAGGAAGCTTCAATTCGAATCCCTTCTTTGCTGTCTCGATTCCGACGCTGTCCCGAATCTCATCTTGGCGAACTTTGTATGTTCGCTCGAGTTCACCTTCGGGTTCGAGGAATCCTTCCGTGTGTTCGAGCAAAATCTCTGCATCCTTGGCTTGAAGAATAGCCTCCTTGTGCTTGAATTCCTGTCTCTTGAGATTTGCGCGCAGCTTCTTGTCCCGCGCACTCTTCGCATTGGCACCTTTGCCTCGTCCGTAGGTTTGCTCGGCTGCTGCGAGTCTCATCTTGGCTTCGTGGTCGCCCTTGGTGACAGCCATGTTGGAGGCTGAGTCGGCCATTTTCTGGCAATTTCTCGAGTTCGTTTACGAAAGAACTCTGGAAGATAAGAAGGCGGACGAGAATCGTAGCTTCAAAGAAAAAAAGTGTTTTGCCCAAAATTTCGCCAAGATTTGCGCTCACCGCTCGCTTATCCTCCACTGGCGAATTTTGATTTCTTATCGTTGCCATTTTTTTTCTACAGAGGCACTTTCATTTTTGGTTCTGTATATTTACCAGTTATAAATTGTTCTGATTGAATATTTGTCGAGTTACCTCTGACTCGCTTCAATCTGGACTCCCTCCCTTTCCGATTCAAAGGCTCCAACGCCAATATGGCGCCTGCCGTGCACCACCACCGCTCCACCACCAAGGTTTCCCACAAGCCCTACAAGAGCAAACATGCCTCCAAGAGCGCCTTGAAGGACCAGGCCAAAGGTATGATTTTTGAACTGCCTAAGCATGATAAATAATATAATTTTAACATTTATACCAATCTAGGCAAAATCGAAAGTGATGAGCGGGGCGGTCGTAAAACACCCCACCAACAACTCAAGACGAAACTCGATCGCCGTAATACTGCCCGCCAAAGACAGGCGTTGAAGCACCAAGAAAGATCCCAAGCCACCAGCATCTTCGCCGGCCAGAATGGTGCTCCCCGTCATGTCGCAATTGTGCCTTTGTCCGCCGATATTGACGCCGCCGCCGCTATTGCTTCTATCAACGAAAGTGTCGATGTGTTGACCGATGTTTCCCCCGATGGGCCTACCCGCGTGCGCATTGATCGATTCCGCCAGAGCGTGCAGTACCTTCCCGCCAAGTATGACTTGATGAGCGCTCTGGATGTGTGCCGTATGGCCGACTTTGTCATCTTGGTCATGTCGTCTGAAGTTGAGGTTGATGAGGAGGGCGAGATGCTGCTGCGTTCGATTCAGGGACAGGGTATCTCGAACGTGTTGACAGTCGTGCAAGGTCTCGATAAGATTGAGCCACCTAAGAAGCGCCCCCAGGTGGCTTCTTCGTTGAAGTCTTTCATTAACCACTTCTTCCCCTCTATTGAGAAAGTTATGTCTCTCGACTCGAGACAAGAATCTTCCAACGCTATCCGTTCTATCTGCACTGCTACCCCCAAGGGCATCCGCTGGCGTGACGATCGCAGCTGGATGTTTGTTGAGAACGTTCAGTGGCCAGAGTCCAACCTGGAAGTGGTTGACGATGTTGTCATCACCGGAGTTGTTCGTGGGCGGGGCCTGAAGGCAGACCGTATCGTTCATCTCCCTGGATGGGGCGATTTCCAGATTGATTCGATCACAGCTGCGCCGCTAGCAACCACAAAGCCCAAGCGGGATGATTCAATGGCTGTTGACGCCAATGAGGCAGAGGTCTTGGATACTCCTTCTGAGGACCAGGATGAGATGGCTGCTATTGCTCCCGAAGAAATTGAAATGGCGGATGACGACATGCTTTCCATGGCTGACACAGAGAAGAAGGGTGTTCTGCTGGATGACTATCATTACTTCTCGGACGACGACTCGCACATTCCCCCGGTACCTAAGAAGCTGCCCAAGGGTACCTCAAATTACCAGTCTGCCTGGTATCTCGAAGATGTCTCAGACTCCGGATCTGACATGGAGGATGAGGATGAGCCTATGGAGATGGATACTGCTGGAGCACCCGAGGATGGCGTGTTCCCAGACCGCCAGGACGCCATGACCGAGGGTGGTGGTACTGAATACCCGCAGTCGGAGATGTTCCTCGATCCCTCCCCAGAGGACGAGGCCCAGGAACTGGCCGACTACCGCGCCAGCCGCAAGACCGCGGCCGAAGAGGACTTGGAGTTCCCCGATGAAATTGAATTGCACCCCAACGTGCTTGCCAGAGAACGTCTCGCCCGATTCCGTGGATTGAAGAACCTCAAGCTCAGCCACTGGGAAACATCCGAGGATCGTCCCTACGAGCCTGAGGATTGGCGCCGACTGCTGCAGTTTGCTGATGTCAGGGGCTCCAAGGCCCGCGTCATCCGAGAGGCTTTGGCCGGCGGCGTTAACCCTGGTATCCGCGTTGATATTCACCTTCGCGCAGTTCCTTCCATTCTACGCAACAGCCCCAAGCCTGTTTCGCTCTTCTCTCTGCTCCGCCACGAGCACAAGCAGACTGTGGTCAACGTCAGCATGACCCTGAGCTCCAGCGTGGAGAAGCCCCTCAAGGCCAAGGAGCAGCTCATCGTCCAGTGCGGTGCCCGTCGCTTGGCCGTCAACCCCATCTTCTCCTCGGCTGATAACACGCCGAACAACGTTCACAAATACGACCGATACTTGCACCCTGGTCGTAGTGCCATCGCATCCTGGATTGGACCCATGACCTGGGGTTCAGTTCCTATCCTTGTCTTCAAACAGAAGCAAGCCGAGCAGGAAGACGGCGACGACGAGATGGAGACCGCTGATGCCAAGGAGGAGCCGATTGCCCTGGACCAACTCGAGCTGATCGGCACCGGTACTGTTGTCGCACCCGATCAGAAGCGCGTAGTTGCCAAGCGTGCCATTCTCACTGGTCACCCCTACAAGATTCACAAGAAGGTCGTTACCATCCGGTACATGTTCTTCAACGCCGAGGATATCCAGTGGTTCAAGGCACTTCAATTGTGGACCCGCCGTGGCCGCAGTGGATACTTCAAGGAGAGCCTGGGTACACACGGATACTTCAAGGCTACCTTCGATGCCAAGATCAACCCGCAAGACTCTGTGGGTGTCAGTTTGTACAAGCGCGTCTTCCCTCGCAAGGCCAAGGCGTTGGATGCGATTGCTGCGTAGGCTGTTGATATCAATAGCACGGGCGAGGTGGATGATATGATACCATTTGACTGAACTGATTACATGATGGGGGCAGCTCTGCTATTGAAGGGAGCTTGAGACACCCAAAAAGTACATATAGACCCGAGGCATCTTAAAATGATGAATTACGAATCTTCTGCACTTGAATTCCGTATTTAACAGTAGTATCTGAAAGGCCAGAATTGAGGATATAAGGATTTGATGTTCCCAGGCGAAAGGTGATAAATATCACCAGGAAGTGTCAGATAAAATAAACCACTGGAAGCAATGGATGGTAGGTAGCATTGATCTGTTTTCATTTCCAGACCAGAAAAATTCTCAAGATAAACAAACGAACAAAGAAGCCAAAAACTCGAGAATCATATTCTCTAGACATCACACGCGGGGAATCACTGAAGAAATCATTCGCCATTTACGAGAAGTCCTCCTCAGCTTCCTCGATGTTATTCTTGATCCGCAGAAGGAGAGTTGTCTTCCACTTGTCCAACTTGCTGAGCTGGTCAAACTGGAAGAGCTTGTCAGCGAAGCCCTCCTGGTCACCACCCTCAACGGCCTGGGTCAGGTCCACGAGTAGCTGGTGCTCCCTTGTCCCAGCAAAGGAAGGATCAAGTTCACGGTATGATTCCAAAGCACGGTTAGTCTCAACAAGATCCTAAATATGTAATTAATACTTTGTTTCCTATCAAAACAATAAGATAGGAACAGCATACTTTTGTGGCAAGGTGACAGATGCCTGCCTTCAGGAGATAATCCTTCACAGACCACTTCATCAGGTGGTTGTTAATAGAGCTGCGGCCGATGCGTTCGTAGTTGGTGATGGCCTTGTAGTAATCACTTTCCAGGGCGGCCAGGTCCGCCACCTTGAGGTAGTGCTTGTTTGCAAGGCTATATTTGGAGTATATGTCAGCCATGTTGTTTTTTTTTTTTTCGAATTGATGTATATCAATCAAATCATGGGATACATACGCCTCAGCGTTATCACCCTCGAACCAATCGGCGGCCTTCTCGTACGCTTCCAGGGCCTTCTTCATATCTCCAAGCTCCACCTCATACAGCTCAGCCAGGTACTGCTGCTGTGTCGCTGCGCGGCGCAAGTTTCCTCGTAGTACGTAGTGCTGGATGGCACTGGAAAGGACACGAGCAGCATCCTCGGGGTCTGTCTTGCGATAGACCTTGAAAGCTTCCTGGAGGTTATTGGCAGCATCGTCGGGTTCGTTTAGGTTCTGAGTTTGGATGGAGGCAGCTTTCTCGAAAGCCTGGCCGGCCTCCTTGTCTGTTTGAGGACACACATCAGTCATCTGGCTTAACCAGCTAGGTCGCGGGGTAGGTATCCTACTCATTTTCTGTACTCGGAATGCATTTGCAGCCTGAGTATACAAATCTGCGGCACTCTCATACTTCTCTGCTCTTCCTCCAAACCAGCTGAAGCCGCCACTGGCACCAGAGAGCGCCTTGTCGGCCTATTTCATCGCAACAGGCGAGGTCTGGTCAGCTATGTGGACTATCGTCATTGCCTATGCAATCAAGGCGGGGAAGCATGTACCTTTTGGAGCAGGACACGGGGATCTTGAGTCATCTTGAGTGTATGTGTCTGGTTTTCCTGCAATAGGCAGTAGTCCGCAGATGTTCGATGTGAAGTTGGAGTGTTGTGGCCAAACGGGGCTGCTATCGATGAGAGCATCGATCGGCGGGCCCGTGGAGGCGGTGTCACTTATTTTTCGGTATCCGCCTAAGCTCCCCGGTGTTGACCAACGACTTTGGTAACTTGTGATTTTGGCTCCTTTTACACTGCACTGTTCATATTAGGCCGTGTTTTATATCTCACTTGATTACGTTCCTTCCTTTATTTTCACACAGAAAAGGTTCTCATCCCCAGATACTCTACAATGACCTCTCTTCGCACTGCTGCTCGGCTATCCAAGTCGCTGCGCCCAGGTCCTTCTCGACTCAATACAACATTCTCTCGCTTCTATTCTTCTGGAAAATCCGACAGTGCAAACATTGAGTTCATACTTGGCGCACCGAACTGGTCTGTCCGGTCGCTGCTCCCGAACCCAGCTTCAAAGCCGCCGCCATCAATCACGCCGAAACAACTCCATCACCTACTCCGCATCTCGGCTCTTCCTCAGCCTGCCAATCAAGAAGAAGAGCAGTCGATGCTTGATACACTCGAGTCTCAAATCCATTTTGTGAAGGAGATCCAACTTGTTGATACTACCGGCGTCGCGCCGCTGGCTAGAATTCGCGACGAAAGTCCTGCTGCTATGGAAGAAGAAACTATTGGAATCGAAAAACTCAAGGAGGCTCTGGCTAAGGAAAAGGTGTCCGGACGCAGGGGGAAAATCCAACGTATCCCAGGTGAGAAAAACGATCGTCCGGATGGAACAGCTTGGGATGGGAATGCGCTCGGGTCCGCGACCAAGACAAAGGGGAAATATTTTGTTGTTGAAATCGACAATTGAGTTGTTCTCTCAACTTTCTACGGCATTGGTATACCCAGGGGGCATATATATTCCGCATGAAGCAAAACAGTGTGATATCAACATGCTCAGATGTTTCTGCCTCAGGTTATTGGCGGAGTAAGCGGATCCGATACCCGTGACTATCGGGGGCCATGACAGCATCGCCCCTCTCCAAACTTGGAACAACAGCTTCTGCCTGTTTGCTCCTTCAAAAGTTGTCAACTCCTTTTTCACCTTTATTTGGCGCCAATGTTCAAAAATTTCAAAGAAAAACATGGTGGATTCTTTGAATCCAAGCAATCCAATGCTTCAGAAAGTGATCGCGGTCAAGATCTATCATCGATCTTGGACCGGTCGCAGCGTGCTGACTTAACTGTCCTCGTTGCTGAGGTAGCTGAGTCAATGCGGGTTCGCATTTTGGAGCTTTACGAGCATACAAATCCAAAGAATAACTCTCCCAATCGCTCCAGTTCGCGTCCATCTCCGGAGGCGGAACGCGATGAAGACACGCCACCCTTGCCCCCAAGACCACAAGGCAAGGAGGCTTCAGGAAACAACGGAAGCCCGCGGCATGGCTCTAATGGCAAGCCGTTGAGTCCTCAAGAAAAAGTCACAGCTCTCTCTGCTTTCGAGGATTGGAGGGATTCTGTCCTTTTGCGTGTTGGCGCGGTCGTCAATAAAGATGATGATGGTCAGGGGAAAAAGGAAGGCCAAGAAGAGCTGCAGGATGCTGCCAAGTCTGATGATCTTCCATTGGATGAGGATAAAGATAGAATGGCCAAATTACAAGAAATATACCACCCCGTGGAAACACCCTTGGCTAAACTTCCTAAAGCAACAAGACTGCTTATTCTTCACTCCCTTCTCCTTTTAATGCTCAGCCTAGAGCACTACAGTGCTTATTCAAGAGTCTTGATGTTGAATGTCACGTCCAGTCTGAACATAGATATCAACATACTCAATCAAGACGAAGTCAGTGTCGCACGCGGATTGCTGCAGACAGCCTTAGCACTCTCAGCAGACCAAGATACCAAAGAGCAACCAAAGAAAAAGGATGACATGAGGAAATGGAAAGTTGGTATTGCATCTGTGGCTGGAGCAGCTTTGATTGGCCTCACTGGCGGGCTCGCAGCCCCATTGGTAGCGGCGGGCCTAGGAACTGTCTTGGGCGGATTGGGACTTGGCGCTACCGCGGCTGCTGGGCTTCTGGGTACTTTGGCCGGAAGTAGCGTTGTTGTCGGCGGCTTGTTTGGGGCTTATGGTGGACGTATGACTGGTCGCATGATGGAGAAGTACGCCCGCGAGGTGGATGACTTTGCATTCATACCGATCCGAGGAGAACGCCGCCGGAACGGCAAATTTAAGGAGTCTGCAGATAAAGAGTCTGCGGATAAGAAGTCCGCCGAGCAAGATCATCGTTTACGAGTTACCATCGGTGTCACCGGTTGGGTCAAGGAGGAGTCGAACTTCGTGGTCCCATGGCGGGTGATTGGTGCCGACTCTGAAGTATTCGGTCTTCGCTGGGAGATGGAGCCTTTGATGAACTTGGGTAACGCGATTTCGGCTCTTGTGACTAGCGCAGCATGGTCAGTTGCCGGACGTGAGGTCTTGGCTCGTACTGTCTTTTCCACGCTCATGAGCGCGGTGATGCTTCCCCTAGGTCTTATGAAAGTTGCTGGCGTCGTGGACAACCCGTTCAGCGTGGCCAAAGCCCGCGCCGACAAAGCGGGTGAGGTTCTCGCGGATGCCCTGATCAACAAAGCACAGGGAGAACGACCCGTGACCCTGATGGGGTATTCTCTGGGATCTCGGCTGATTTTCTCCTGCCTTCAAAGTCTAGAAAGGAGAAACGCCTACGGCCTGGTTGAGTCAGTAATTATGATGGGATCACCCACTCCTTCAGACACAGAGGACTGGCAAAAGATTCGCAGTGTCGTAAGCGGACGTGTTGTGAATGTGTTCTCTGAGAATGACTCCGTCCTCGCTTTCCTCTACCGAACAAGCAGCCTTCAACTCGGTGTCGCCGGATTGCAGCCAGTTGAAGGTGTTCCAGGTGTTGAGAACCTCAACGTAAGCGAAATGATCAGCGGCCACCTGCGTTACCAGTTTCTGCTTGGCAGAATTCTTACACTTATCGGGCTTCAAGACCTTGATCCCAGTGAGATTGAGCGCGAAGAAGCTGCTCTCGCTGATGAGGACAAGCGACAGGAGAAGGAGCGGTTGGAGAATGAGCGTGCGGCTGGTGTTAAAGACCGGGAATCATCTGATGCTCGTGCGACCCTGAACAGCGAGGATGGTTTTGGGGAAGATGCACGGTTGCAGAAGAAGGTCGAAGCACAGACTCAGGAGAATATGACGACGCACCGGATTGAAATGCTTGATATGGACGACGATGATTATTCGGCGCCTTTGAAGGAGGATCCCTCTAAGCATTCTGCTCTCTAGTTGAGGATTTTTATCTATCATATAAGCATTCGGAGACATCTCTCAAGTATAACTCGTTTAATACAACAAAAATAGTCGGCCGCTTACGCAGCCTTCAGCCATTTTTTTAGTGGTCTTTCTAGATGTTTTGTTAGATGTCTTTTTACTAGATATCCCTCCTCTTATTGCTGTCTCCCATGTTGGTATAGCTGGAATATAGTAAGTTTGCAGGTGCGGCGATAGCTTCCAAACACGACGTCTAAAAGCAGAATGCCTCCTATTCTGTCTCAAGTATAAAAATAAACAATTCGTACTAAGAACATGATCTGTTGGTATCCTTAGCTAATTTCCTTCACAAGAGACATGAAGCAGATTCCAATATTCCAATATTCCAATCAACCCATAATACTTATCATTCCTTCAGCCTGGTGGATATTATATTGCTGCACCAATAATGACTGTCCAATCCGAGCTGAACTAAAAGATCCCACACATACTATTACCTCTGGTATTCACCAATAAATCCAACCTCGAAACCCTTCAACGGCCCCACAAGATCAAACGGTGTACAAGTGGACATCTACATTCCTCGACCTCAGTTTCCTCTGCCCGTCGTCGATATAACCAATCCGTATAGGCATGAAATTTTCGAAACTGGTAGTTATCTGGCCAGAACCTCGAAAGCCAGATTTGAACATTGCTGAGCGGCGGAAGACCAAATGGAAACATCTCTGACCACAATCCCTGGTCCCATCTGATATATATTCTTGAATTGTCAAAAATCCCAAGTCCGTCATATGAATCTGATTTGAACGCATACATAGCATGGTGTAGTAGAATTAGCATGATATATCTCTGATTCGATTGATGGAGCCACGGATCCGTATTCATGACAACCCAGGGACAGGTACATAATTGGTTGTAGAGTTGTGTTTCATATGACGATTCCCAGCTCGTGCCGTCTTTGAACCAGTTTCTGAATCTCTCAAGACGAAGCATACTTGCTGTTTCGCCCGGTAGTTCATCCAGGCTTGTTTCCAAGAACATGTTGGTGTCGATCAGTGAGCTTTCAATTTGCTGGGCGGCTATGTCTTGGTTCATGCAGAGAAGCTTCTTTAATCGAGACTCGATGCCGGTTTGATCGAATAAAGATACGAGACGCCGGTGTAAGTGCACGTATACATCGTCTGACATGGTGGGCACATTTGTTGCTGAATCTTTGACCCATAGTTCCAGACGCAGGAAGGGTAAGACAGCAATGTCGGAGTCGGGACGGTATTTGTTGGACTTGATTGTCTCCTGTAGACCACCCATTTCGTAAAATGTATCTTTGTCTCGTTGCCAGTGAGCTGGTGGGTCTGAATGCCATATACCATTTGTGGATACCATTATATTTGACCGAGTGGTGCTAATTAGAAGATCGACTAGCGCGTTGGCTTTCTGCCATATCAACATCATTTGACCAGGATCTGTTGAATCTGGGGGATTGATATGTATGTTCAGCGTCGTTTTCGAATGCGGGAAGTTGTGGAAATGTCTAGCGGCGTCTGCTCTGTTTCTGAGAATCCACTTGATGTCCACGGTTCTGGATTTCAATTGTATGACCATCCACTTCCCCTCGTCATATTCTGGGTTCAGTGAGATGTGTTGAACGGAGTCGTGGAATAAATGGGACGAAACCTCATTGTAAAGGTATCGACTGGTGCAAAGAATGGATAGGGGGTTGTGCTTGGGTAGAATGTCCTTCAGTGGTTGTATGCGGAGGGTCGAGAAGAGGTACTCCCATATCATCAGGCGAATCTCTATGGGAAGCCTAGCAAATATACCCAGACAAGGGAATAATGGAAATTGCATCTTGAACAAGCAAATATATTCAACTTGTTGATGATTGAAAAGTGATGAGCTATGAAGAGGAAGAAAAAGAGAACACTAGATCAGGATGGAAGATCATTTCATTCCACTTGCATAGTCAGATATATCGTCAAGTTTACGTTGAAGCTTGGTACTATGCCTTTCTCAGATGATTTCCCGATTCGGCGCGGAGAGGTAGTCTTATCAAACCCTAAAATGACCACTTCGACTGACAAAGAATATTTGTATTGACCTCACCTTATGGCTTAGCCACATGCACAACAATCTTTCCTCTGGCACGGACAGAGCGAAGCTTCTCAAATGCTTTCACAGCATCCTCAAACTCGTAGGCAGTATCCAGCTGAATCTTGACAGCCCCCTTTTGCACCCATTCCCCCATCTTCACAAGATCCTCACGAGTGTTCTTGAAGAAAAAGACAACATACTTCCTCTTTCCACCACCCAAGAAACTCGGCCAAATCAACCGATCAACGAAAGTCCCCACGCCCGACGCACCAACCTGCACAAATGTCTTCCCAGCCGCCAAGAAGTGATGCGACTCGCGATACATTGGCGCAGGGTATCCAATATGATCAACAATATGATCAAATACAACTCCACGATTACGCAGCGTAGCAATCAAATCCTCCTCGACCGAGTAATCAATAACCTCATCAGCGCCCAGTCCACGAACAAACTCCACATTCTTCGTCGAGCAAGTAGTAGTAACATGACATCCCATCTCCTTAGCAATTTGAATCGCGAAAATTCCACATCCTCCAGAACCGCCGTTAATAAACACCTTATCACCGGCACTGACGTACCCAGCCAACGACTGGTACGCCGTCTGTCCGGCAATGCCAATGCACGCCGCATGATCAACCTCCACACCCTCCGGCACATGCGCAAGCAGACTAGCAGATGCCACTAGGTACTCGCCCAAAGAACCAAATTGGCCGGGCTGGCTAAGACAGCCGTACACGAGCTGGCCGGGTAAAAACTCGGTCGCGTCGTCGCCGGAGACAACCACGCGTCCGCAGAAATCCATTCCCGGTGAGGCGGGTGTGCCGATGACGAATTTTTGTGCTACTAGGCCTACTAGGCCCATTTCGGGGACTTTGTAGTCGGCAGGGTTCAGCGAAGCTGAGAGGACTTGGACTAGGACATTGTTGCCGTGGACGGCTGGTGGTGCGCGTGCCGACGCGTCAAAATAGAGGTTCTTTTCCAGCCCGTTGGTTGTGCTGGAGTAATGCCAGGCTTTCATTTGTGTGGGTTGGGCAGATGCCATTTTGGATTTGATGTATATGTTGTTTTGATGTGATGCTGAGAGATGTGATGTTGCCACTTTTTTTTAAGGGAAGTTGATGACCTCACCCGCAACTTTGCCTTGTCTCACTTTGTACATTTTAGCGTCAGGGGGTGGAAATTATGTCTTGGATACTTGAATGGTATTTATGCAAATCGAATAATATCTATACTCCTTTTTTGTGCAGGAAAGTCAATGCCCCGAGTGCCATAGCATCTACGCCCGTACACAATGTCGGTTGGATAACCGGCGCATAGAACGGCGAGTGGTTACTAGGCAGTTCATCAACAGTCCCCTTAGCAACAGCATTATCCCAAGTCTCAGGATCAGTTCCACCAAACATCCACATAACATAAGGTGCGCCCACGGCAGTCGCCAGCAAAGAAAAGTCCTCACTAGCAGTCGGAGGCTCCATATCAACTAGCCGATCACCAAAGTATGGACTGAAAGTCTCACGAAGAGCATCAATAGTCTTCCCATCATTAATAGTCGACGGTGTCGAATAAGTAAGCTTAATCTCAGGTTTCTGCTCAACTCCAGCAGCCAGACATTCACCTTCAATAATGCGATGAATGGAAGCACACACGCGCTTTCGCACCTCCGCATCGTAAGTCCGCACATTCAATTGCAAATCCAAATACGCCGGGATGATATTCGGCGATTGTCCAGCATGAATACTACCACAGCTAACAACAGCCAACTTCCCAGGGGTGACTTCTCGCGAAACGATAGTCTGTAGTCGCATAACGATCGCCGCACCGACCACAATCGGATCGATAGTCGTATGCGGCGCAGACCCATGACCTCCACGCCCAAAGACGCGGACGTTAAAGGAATCAGCGGCAGTCAGCAACGGGCCAGCGCGGAGATTGACCGTCCCGGCGCGCATGCGCATTACATGCTGCGCGAGCACAAGCTCCGGCTTGGGAATCTTGTCGTATAGCCCGTCATCCAGCATCGCCTGTGCACCATTGAGATTTTCCTCGGAGGGCTGGAAGATACAGATCAGGGTTCCGGACCAATGGTCGCGCGCGCATTGCAGGAGCGTCGCAGCGGCCATTAGCGTTGCGACGTGCGAGTCGTGTCCGCAGGCGTGCATTACGGGTTTATCGGCTCCGGTTTCATCTTTGACGTGTCGGGTGCTTGCATATGGTAGACCGGTTTGTTCTTCTACGGGTAATGCGTCCATATCCGCCCGTAGGAGGATTCTTGGGCCGGTCCCGTTGCGCAGGACTCCTGCCACGCCATGGCCGCCGATTTTTGTGTGGACTTCAAAGCCAATTGATTTGAGGTGGTCGGATGCTATTTTTGCTGTTTGTTCTTCTTGGCCTGATAATTCGGGGTTGGTGTGGAGGTGGCGATAGACATCTTCGAAGGGCTGTAGATCTGGCCTGTAGCGATTGATGACGTCGGCTAGGTCATTGCTGTTGTCTTCTGTATAGGTGTGAGTATTTATACTCTTCAATTGATATAGTTTAGGTAGTAGTACCTTTTACTTGCATGTTGGAGGTAATATCAAAGTATGTAGTTGCGTTAGGAAAGTAAATTGTCCAGTATATCCCTGTATTCATCCGGGGTTTATATATCCGAGCAGATCGGACAATTGGCCCCATATAGGCCCCGTCATTTATCTTCCAGTAGGCGACCAATCCACCTCATCGGCAAACCCCTCGAATCATTTCCCCGCAATTGGATCTTTGCATATCTTTGCTCGCCAATTGCCGATCATTCCGGTCTCTACTCTATCTTTAGGAGATAGTCTTCACTATTATCGACTATGGAGGACTCCGTGCCACTCTATCAAATAATTAGCCTTAACCATGAGGCAGCAAACTACTAAAATTTTCTGTCTCTATCCAAAACTAGAAAATAACATATATCTCGATCAAGAAGTGCCTCCAATGGTCATATCTTAGCCAACCACTTCGTATTGCCTCCAACAATATTATCACTCCCATAAATAGCCACATTCTCTTACCGTCTTCAACAGCCCGGCCGGGCTAGCTCAATCGGTAGAGCGTAAGACTCTTAATCTTAAGGCTGCGGGTTCGACCCCCGCGTTCGGCTATTCCTAAAAACCAAACCTGAGATTTCTTTTTTGCTCTTTTATTTTTGTTCCATGTGTTTCAATGAGTCTTAAATGTTGTGTGTGTGGTAAAGGCTGGTGTTGACCAGGATGCCACACTAGAAAGAATTCCTGCGCGAACTGATTGGACCTCATGTTACATATATGGTATCTAGTATTTTCCTTGGAACAAGGACAAACAATTGATTCCTCTAAATTAGAATAAAGAACAAACCGGCCATGATCCGCCTGATCTAAGCAGCTGGGTGTGATATCCTCGTAATGAGAATACGACAGCTCCTCATATAGTACTTGACACCTTCAGTGTCATCTACCGTCCAAACCAACTCACCCACCTAATATCCGTAGTACGGGTTGAGAACCGAGTCCGTGGTTGTCTCGGTGCAACACTGGCCGTTGATGTTCGTACCAGTGGAATCATACAGGCAGTTATTGGCTCCGAAGTAGACGTCACCATACGCGCGGGGCCAGGAAGCTTCCAGCTTACAACCAGGAGTAACTTTGTAGTCCGTCTTGTCGTCACCATTGAACTGGGCGTAGATGGTCGCGGTAATGTCGCCGGTGCTTTGGTCTGCAATGTCTATTGTCTTGTGAGTATACCGATCCACACAGAATGAGAATTTGAGAATCGTGGAAACATACTGGTGTACTTGGTTTGAGACTTGCAGATATTCTCACCATTCACATTGATACATCCGTTGTTGACGTGCTTCATGATTTCATGTTAGCAAAAATCTTCATACTAGATGCTCTTCTTTTTGTTGGATACGCACCACGTTAGTTCCACCAGCATTGTATCCCGCGGGTGCATCGCAAGGCCAGTATTTCCCCTTTGCATCACCCCCCTCGACAGTATTGGATGCTGCCTCGATATCGTCGCAGATTGGCAGGGTGAAGAATCCCGGGGTGCGGATTCCATTCTCGAAAACCAAATCACCCTCTGTGCCTGAACCGTCAATAATCTTCGACAGAGCGGGCATTTCATAGCCATTTGCGTTGCCATTCAGCTGATATGCCTGGTACGAGCTTTGGACCATATCCTCGAGGATGACACCGCCCCAGTCATTGCCATTAAGGGTTTGGTGATTTCCTCCAGGGAGGGCCTCGAAAGGCTGCATTCCAGGAGAGGTATTGATGTTCACGACATAGAAAGCGTCGTTATTGTAACAGACATATCCGCCGACTAGAGTGTCCTTAGACATGTAACTGAGAACATCTCCGTCAATCGACGTAGAACAAGCTCCGGCCTTCCGCCTGCCAATAAAAGGTGACTGGTTAGTAACTTCGTCCTATTCGGGAAATGATATAAGGATGTTTCTCTTACAGAATGCGGGGATAGAGGGTTTCAGGGGATATCGCCCAAGCAGCCGGAATCAACTGTCCGTAGAGGATCTTTTCGGCCTGGGAAGTCATTCCACTCAGATCTACTTTAGGCGAAAGTAGAAGCATCGAGCCGTTGGCAGTCAGGGTTTTCAGAGCATCAATTGAAACCTCATCGCTCTCTCCGGCAAAGAGTGAGGTGATATATCCGCTCTCTAAGCCAGTCCAGGCCGAGAAATAAGTTCCAAGGGCGGAGGAAATTCCATTCTGGGTGCCCAATGCATCTTTAGCGCTGTTTGTAGGTATAATTTAGCTTAAGAATAAACCTAAGAAGGATGATATAACTCACGACTGCATGGAGTCTTTACCCATCGCGGTGGAAAAGGAGATAAGTGCTGCGTTGGTGACGTCTTTTCCCATCGAGAACCACTTCGATGTGGCCATAGCGAGGCCCTTGAACGCTACAATTGTGATACATCATTAACACCACACACACGTTGCCACCAGAATATACACCTACCAATATTCCAAGCGAAGGAGCTGCCAATGCTAGCCACCAAGACCACGGCATCGATAATGTACTTGAATATTTCGGAGTTGTCTTCGGCCTGAGGCGCAAAGACGTTCGCAAAGTGACCAATGTCATTTTGCATTGTGTTAAGGGCATCTCCGAGAGCGTCATAGGTTTGTTGATGAAGCTGGTAGAGATTATTGTTAGTTAGTCGACTTCCCGTGAAATTCAAGCAAAAGATGACGTACCTGGTGGATAGAGGAGAAAGAATTCATAATCAGATATCTACGTGCCCATGTTAACCTTCACTTCCGTGTATTGTATATCCAAAAAAAAAAGCCGGTGGCCCACTCACCCAGCGGGATAGTCGGCCTGGTTACAGGTCATCACGGTGGAGCAAGGAGTGTTGCCGATATCTCCACAGTTCCAGTTGTCCGGACCGGTGAAGTAGTTGCCGATGAACTCGGGGAATCCCAGGCCACTGGCGGCACCGGAAGTAGACCAGGCATCTAGGGCTTCGTTCAGGGCATCGTCGGCTTTGGCTGCCTCCCAACGAGCAGTGGGATCCAGTGTCGCGTCGGTGATGTCGGTAGTGCACTTGGCTTCCTTCCAAGACAATGCGGACGATGAGGTTGTGTCTGCTGCGGCGGCCAGGTTCTGTACCTTAAAGATAGGAGTTGCAGAGGGTACTGCAGATGAAGCTTTAGCACTGGAACCAGGGACAGCAGTAACGCTGACTGCGTAAACGAGCGAAAGGGACGTTCCGAGGAAGATAGAACGCATTTTGAATTCAACTGTAGGTTGCCAAAAGAAAGATATAGTGGAATTAAGTGAACGCCTTCCATCCTTTTATACAATAGATACCCCTATAGTTATCTCCTTTTTCGACAAAAATAGACCAAACGTATGTCCTAGTTGATGAGCGCAATTTCCAGCGCCCAGGTATCAATGTGGCAATTACCGGTTTGGGAGATCATCTCATAGAGATGTTACCGCCCCAAGTATGTGTTACCTTATTTCCTAAAAGGGAAGTTGGTGAATGTATTCACGTCGAATATCATGCTATAGTACGGGCGTGGGGCTAAATGCTCCTCCAATCAGTTTGTCCCGATCTTCCACGTGGCGTGGGCCTTATTTAGATATTACATGCATTTCCTCAAGAATTGATGTTTCCTGGGCCTTAATTTTCTTGCTCTACCTTGTAGCTTACGTTCCGAGTGACTGTTGTTGTTGATTTGAAGGACTATTACTATTATTTGTAGGGTAGAGACACTATTCATAGCCCCCACAATAATCTGCAACACAAACCAAGAACAAAGCACTAAGGAAAACAATGCCCCACAGTCATCAGAGCACGATGCTCTTATGGCGATGCCAATTCGGTGTCAAATATTGCCCGGTGCGGGACAACGTTTCAACTATGTGGAAATTGGGGACTAAGTGCATAGGCAAAGCAATCCCAGTTATGTAAACAGTAGCGAATGGCCTGTAAGTCCACAAGACCTGCGTGTGGCACCTACCAGAGCGGGAGGCCAAGGAAGCGAGATTAGCAGGTCTTTAATATGCAACTTTCTGTGAGATGAGCGGTCAATGTCGTGACATATGTGAGATGGAAAGGTCGGTGAGAAGTTTGGAGTAGGAGAGATGTGGTAAACGGAAAAAGAAAAAGGAACAAGGAGTTTACCCCCTCTGTGGCGGCTCCAACTCAGTGGTGAATATGCGAGGCATTGGAACATGCCGCTATCTAAAGCGCCAGTCTTCTTGGCTTCCACCATTAAGAGGTTGGTTTCGTAGTTCTCGGGCATTCCAAAACAGAGTGAGTAGTCCACAACGCCGGAAAGATATTCTTTTCCTGCGACTTGCCATCAAGTTTTGATACTTCGCTCAAACTAAAGATGTAAGGACCTGATACTGTCAGTAGTCTGAACAGAGCCAAAGGGAAGATGTGGGCTGTACACACACTCGCGTTTTATCATAGCAAGTGTGTATAACATGATGGCGTCAATTTGAGATCTCAACATGACTTCATTTGCGGGTGATCCGCCTGTTGCAAGTGTATAATCTCCCATGGAGGTTTCTATTTGAGTTAGCATATACAAGTACAAAATGGTATGGATGAGTCTAGTATACCAAGATGAGTAGGGAACGATACTAGTTTTCGTCTGTGAAGCAAACTTCTTGATCGCTGGGCTCGCTTCTTGTGAGAAAAAAAAACAGCTGTGGTATTTCTAACAGCTCTAGATCAAAGACTGACTTGGCCTAAAATTTAGCCGCATGCCTTTTTCAAATTCAGACGTTGGTCTTGGATGAGATCTGTGAGTGATCTTGTCTCATTTGTTCTCGTTATGGTGGGCCATTTTCATGTTAAGAGAACGAAAATTTTCTTCTAGCTTTTCTAGCAAATCCATCATGGTTGTAGAGCGCATAGAAGGCTGCAAGAGACGAGTAGGAAGTTGAGGAATGCCGCAGAAGGATGCTTCGAGCCTCGTACAAAGCATTACGTAGACTCACAAAGATACCAACGTGGGGTGGAAGATGAAAGAAGAAGAAGAAGAAGAAGAAGAAGAAGAAGAAGAAGAAGAAGATATTAGAGGAATGTGAAATGATGCTCGCTGAGATAATCTAGGATGGCACAAACGTTCCTCATTCCCTTCTGCTTCACTACCTCGTCGGGCGAGACATTAAATGGTGTAACTTTGTGAATGTCTACACTCCTCTATGTTGTCCATTTAATATAATTTTAGTAGAAACATGAACGAGATATGCCTTTTTACCGCCCTCGTATATATCTAAAAGCATTTAAAAGATAGCTTAGTAGATATCTCAAAAGACATCTAAAATGAATATAACAAGGCCATATAAGTGGCTGATGGCAATTCTTATCTTGTATATGCCTGTGACGATGAATGAAGCGGTGAGGTAATATCCAATGAGAGTGTTATGAACTGGTGGCATACTTAGTCGTAATTGTTCCCCTTCCGCTTTCTCCAGGGCTTCTACCATCTGCTTACGTCTTGCCTACGACATTTTCTTCTTTTATCACCCTAAAGTGCCCTATCGAATGTTTCAAGGCGCTACATATTATGTTTGCTTTGCTTTGCAAATCCAGAGAGAAAGTGTTGGGCTTCCACTTCAGACATGGGTGCCGTTCGACTACCATGCCATCTAGCAGCTCATGAAGTACAATTACACCAATAAGTAGTCTAGAAAGTACCGCCCAGTCTAGAAAAAGAAGAAACTAGCCGTAGTATCTACGACTAAATAACCAGGGAGCAAATAGGCAGGACCACATGACCTCTTATACCTACCCATTTTCCTCTTTTCATACCAACCGTAAGTCTGCTTATCGCATTTATTGGAATGAGGAACCTCACCGATCTTCAGTGACATAATGGAAACAGATATAACCCCCCCCCGGCTATACTCATTACACATCAATATCTAGATTGGCGTCCATCGTCGGATGTTCAAGGCTGCAGTGTGCACTTCTCTAACGGCGATATGATTGGCAACAAACCAACTAACTTTCTTTGGATCAAGGCTACCACGACATATGAAAGAGGGGGAGTGAAGGTAAAGAAAGCCCTGGAAGATTCAACATGTCGATCGCTTCGAATTCAGGCTACCACTACAAAACAATACTCAAGGCAGATGACCAGATTGAGGGGTAGTAAACCTTCAAACAAGGTACCACACTGTTGCGATCAGCCTAGGTGGCAAATATCGTCGGTATGTTTCACTCTCAAGTCGGAATCGCAATCTGTTGTAGGCTGCCATGCTGGCTGGAATGGTATACTGGGAGTAGTCCAGAACTTCTCTCCTAGATCTCCCGAGGTCAAGTAGATAGTCGACATATTTCGTAGAAATAATTGGAGTTAGGAATCATATGTGTGTAAGTAGGTCTAGGATCACGATATAAAACCGGTCCGATAGTGCAATCATTGTATGTAGTACTCAGCTGAGCGATATATATCCGTAACGGTTTTTCATGAAGGTTCTCACCCGGGCAACGTAAAGCCCCCAATGACGAATTATACAGAATATGGCGTGTTAACCAACAAAAAAGGTCAATTCTATGCCTACATACACTATCATCTCCAATGATCCATGTCCAGCTGAAGGACAAACCTTGTCACGCCCTTATCTGCACAAGGCGTTCTCTGCCTTGCGCTCGGACCTAGTCAAGCCACAAATGGCCTGGATTTTACCTTGCTAGTCTAGTCATACTTGAGGAATTGTTTTTTCATGTTGCACGGATGCATGTAATTTACGAAGTACAATTTGTTTGTTAATGCGTAGGATAGGTATCCATGCATGCAAAACATAATCTTCCGTTGATTTGCCTGGCATTTCTCAAGCATCGGCCCGATCCACTAGTGGATACCAATGCCTACATTGGCCACTCAGCTTCGAGTATGAGCAATGGAGGCTCAAGCAGAATTTTCATCAACGAAAAAAAAAGAAATCTCAGGTTTGGTTTGTAGGAATAGCCGAACGCGGGGGTCGAACCCGCAGCCTTAAGATTAAGAGTCTTACGCTCTACCGATTGAGCTAGCCCGGCTGGGCTGTTGAAAGCGGTTGCAATAATACAACTGATATTGGCCTTGTGCTAGGGTTAGCTCCGGCCATAATTTGGTCGGCGGTTAGTATGGGGACATAAATGTCTCGAGGGGTACATGTGACACGAGGGACATATCATGATGATCCTTGAATAAACGGTCCGGCGGCGTGTGATGAAACATAGTATGGTAAAAATATAACAATCTGTCTTCTTGAGGTTGTCGCGCGCAGTCGAAGGCTCGAGCCCCTTGGTATAAACATTGTGGCTTCCTGTTGCCTAGGTAGAGAATGTATTGAAGAAATGGTAGCCTGGCGTGCGCGCCAAGCGAGGTTAATTGAAAAAAGATAGAAAGAGATCGAAAACAAGGTCATAATCAAATAGGGATCTTTGGCTTGAGCGGCGGGCAACGAGAAGTGAGAAATTGCAAGTAATCGGTTTCTGAGAAAGAAGACATCAGTGGCTGGTGTATCGAATCATGAACCAGAGATAGTGAAATTGGTGGCTGAGGCTGAGCAGTCATCCTAAATTGGGGATAGAATGAAAAAAGCGCTGGATGAGAGCTCGTGTAGAGCTTATGGCTTGGGGCAGAGAGGGGTAATTGAGGCTGGTGAGAATCCCCAAATGTTGGGGTCCAAAATAAACAATCCTAGTTAGCGCACTATTCTTAGATAATTTGAAACGCTCGAGTATCCCAAATTATGGAACTAGAGAACTGTGCTCGAAGTCCCAGCGATGTGGTTTAGGGAGTTCCAGAGTTGTCTCGGTAGACGCTCATTGCAATGCGGCGGTTGCGGGAGCCTATGAGCGTGAGGAATGGGTGGGTGGGAACCCTGCGATCAAACACCTCCTTCTGAATGTACTGGCTCTGGTTAAATTTTGAGGTTCTATTTCAAAATTTCAAGTCAAAAGGATTGCAAATGACGCGAACCTGAGGCCTGTTCTCAGGGGGAGGGAACAGGGGGGAACACGAGACCCTAGTCATGGCGCAGGAACACGAGAAAACACAAGCCACACGTCTTTGGAGATGTGAATGACATGTGTAAGATTACCGAGTAAGACGGTTGATGTCATGGGAATAAGGCCACAAAAATAATAATTGTAATAATGCCTTTGAAATGTAGTCGGGGACCGAAAGGGACATAGTTTGAGTTGAAGAAGTCGTGCATGGTAGTGAACTTGACCGTGAATTGGGGGACTTGAGCCAATCATAGGGACGAGAAGTGTAAATACGGCGGTGTTTGAAGCCATAACACAGCCTCACTAGCCACAGACAATCCAGATTAGAGCGATACCAGAAGAGTACAAGAACAGTACAAGAATAGTACATGCTATTCCTCCTGTGTTTAGCGTGAGGAGCTAAGTACTGGGGAGGTATTGTAGATCCGCTGCCCCACCAGTCAAAGTGGATACCAGACCCTCCAGGCTCCAGGGCGCCATCTATAGAACCCGCATAACACTTGCATAGTCTATATAACCCTCGACCCCCCCTCCCATTTCCACTAGAATATCTACCTCAATCTACACACATTTGACGTACATTGGACAATTCAAATTCCATATCTACTGTCACACTTAGGTTTCATATCATCTACATACGGTGATCATCTATTATCTTCGCGTGACCCCCCAGAAATCAGTCACGGTGTCGCCCTACCGCTCAACCTCGTACACCGTTGATCGCTCAACTCTCTTAACGTCAGAGAGATCTCCTCCCCGTTCTAGCCTGACCCGACGTCTACTTGGACTACGCCGTACCAACACAATGCCTGCCCCCATTGAGATACCAGACCCTGTCGCCGTCGTGCGTGACCTGCACGACGACGAGAAGTTGGTAGTTGACGACTTCGAGCGTCACGCCAGCCACTGCCGCAACTGCTCACACGCTGTCGAGACATACAAGGATGGTCTTTCACTCTGCGAGTCGGGCAACACCCGCGCCCGCACTCTGCGCAACTACCTCTACAGCCAAAACGGCAAGCAGTTCTCTACCGTGGACTTTGAGAGCGGCAAGTCTACACGGGTGAAGCTGCCCCGCGATGCCTTCGCTACCCGTGAGCTTCTCACAGCCCTCGAGCAAGGCATGCGCATCCGCGAGAAGGCTGTCGTCATTCAGAAGCCCGTCCAACCAGCCCAGCCTGCCCAATCCTCTAGCTACGACCGGACTTACCCCATCCCAGCTCGCAAGGTCAGCGGCAAGCAGACTCGTCCTCGCTCCATGTCTCCCGAGGCTTACCAGCTGGTCGAGAGGGCCCCACGCCTTTCTCGCTCCCCTACTTCAATTGTGTACTGCTCGCCCGGTGGCTCCTCCAGCCGCCCATCCTCTAGCCGTGGATCATTGTACAGCGTCGACCGACAGGAGCGTGTGGAGCGCCACTACGAGACCCCTCGCCGTTACGTCGAGGGCTCCCCCAAGCACCGTTGAACGTATACCTGGAAACGTACTTGACAACGTACCCGGCAATTTATTTCGACTCTGGTTCATCTGATTACGATCATATACACACCCCCCACCAATCGCTTCGAAGAAGCTTCAATTCGCTCGCGATGGGCATTGACTGCCCACACCCATTTTGACCGCGAGACGGTCCCTGCCCGTAATGTGGAATTAGCACATTATAGGCATTAACCCCCCATACCCCAGTCTTTGATGATCTGGATTGATAGGGCCTGCCTGGATGCGCCCTCGGAAATTCACTTTTCTGTTTTCCAGCTTTGATCTTTGACTCGAGTGCACGTCGGGTGTTTGAGATCTGCGGGATTTCCCAGTCTCGGACCCCGACTTGATTGTGACTCGATCAAATTGTTTTTTGATTGTACGCAATACTCTGCAGGCTTGGCCAGACCCCATTACTGGTATGCTCCTTCGGGGAGCATGCGGGTGTGGGGGACATTGGCCAATGACAGATGCGGAAAGTCGACGATGTTTATGCATGCGTTTTTGTCGGTTTTACTGCACGACTTTATTGGTTGTTAGTGTGACTCATTTTTTTTTGATGTGGAGAAGCTTGTCTACTTTGATGATTTTGATTTTTTTTTCCGCCAATTTTTTCCTTTGTCTTTGATACGATGTTTGAAATGCGCCCTTTTGGGGACTAGGCTGTCAGCCTCACACTCTTTAGACAGCTCCCCACTCTGGGAATCAGTTGATGAAATATTGAATGTCTTACTGGAAACACCAACCATCTTTTAAGAAAACAATTATAGAATAGATAATAACTATACATTAAGACACCGTGGTATCTCAGCATGCTTGCTAGATAGTCTAGTCATGAGGGTGCCCCACGTTGGCCAAACGACGATCATGATACCCACATCCTGTGCTCCCCACCATTTACATCTGTACTTTACTCTTGATATTCTTACAGTTCTTACAGTTCTATACATGACTCACAGCCTGGTTGTGGCTGAGTTGTTCAAATGATCTGCCTCAGGCGAGAAGGCATAGACTTTTATCCTATGCTTATATCACCTGCCCAAGTTTTTGATCCCACGTGAGTTTCTTTATAAGTGACGTCGCAAATGATATCAGAAATGTGATGTCTAGGGGAAGAACCAACGAAAACTAGAGTCACCAGCTACACTTTCCTGGTTGCTTCTCGACTCCTGATACTACCACTACCCCATCATTATTAGAAACAGGTACAGAAATACAATTTGCTAATCTCAAGTCCTCACAAGCTAGCACCGCCAATCTATCACTTATAATAATTTGGAACCTTCAGCCCCTTAAACTCAAACGAAGTGTTCTCCCGACGGTCAATCACAGTCTTATGATGAACATCCTTCACCCGAGCCCGAACATACTCAGTCCCCGTAGGCGCAGGCTTACTTTGATTCTTATCTTCTTCAGTTAGAAGACCAAGACGATCAAGTAAAGGCGAGGGCACAGTTCTCATCACAGTATCATCACCCGGTCTACAGAAATAGAGCAACCCAAGACGGGGGATATCAATTTGATCCTTGGGAGGTGTGACAACACGATGGATCGTCGATTTGAGGAAGCCTGTCGTCCTTTTTAGCAAACTAGTTTCGTAAAAGCTGATGTGAGAACTTACCATTGGTGAGGAATGATAACGTGTCCGCAATATTACACGTAATCCCACCCTCAACAGGCTTGACATATTTCCATTCCCCATCCGACGTCCGGATCTGCAAGCCAGCAACATGCTGTGAGAAAAGCAGAGTCAAGCTTCCAAAATCCGTGTGACCGCCCTTGGTGTATCCCTGTGCCTTGTCCCATTCCTCTTGAGTGCGCGTGTTATAAATCATGTATCGCAAGTGGTCATCGGAACGCCTGTCATAAGCGTGCGCTTGGACTAGGTGGTCTTCCGGTAATTCCAGGATAATTGACATCAACACAAATAGCTTGCGGATGACTTTGTCGAAGAGATCTCGATGGAAGCTAGCTATCTCGTCGTAGTTCTGACGGACGATCCTGTGTTTAGGAACATCGTCCCATTCAGGGATGGCTTTGGGAATATTGAGCTGCATGAGTTAGCTAGATTCAATACAGTATGCGAGGCAGATAGGTATGTTCGTACCATTTCTATATTATCTTTCACACCGGTTTCTCCGATCCACCTTGAGTTTTCACGGTATCCGAAATACTCGCCTTCTGCAAAATTACATTCAAAGCTTCTCTTTTCTTCGAGGCTTTCTTTGAAAAAAGCATTACCGATACTGAATTGGCGGAGGATACGCTCGTCATCGAGTCCATGTCCGACAACCACCCAAAACCCGACTCGTGTCACGGCATCGTATAATTGCTTTGCGAGCTCTTCTTTTCCACCGGGTTCGTCGAAGCGAGAAAGATCGATCTCAACTAGGGGCGCCCAATCGAGCTTCTCATTAGTAGGTGCAGGTCGGCTCCATGGTTTGACAATGGGCTTTTCGATTGGGATTTGTTCTTCTATAGCGGAGGGTGCCATATTTATCTTGGGATGAACAGCGATAGCGATGTACAGTAGGAAGATATTCTGGACAAGAAGACTGGGCTTTATATTCAACTCAAAATAAAAATTTAATTGAGATGTACAACCTACTATTTTTGTAAATACTCCGTTCCATACACTTGCCATTGCGAAGATGCGGGGTCTATGGTACCATGGCCGCTTAGGATGGCGTTATATGCAACGGCATTATTGTGCCGTGAAATGGGGCGAAATTATACCTGGGTAGTCAATAATACTCCGAGCCAATAGGATAGAAAGTTGAGGCTATGAATTGCATATCCAGGTTGAATGTGGGTAAATATGCCGGAGAGACTAGAGTGGCGATCATGTATACAGCTAAGTGTAAACGCCCATCGCGGGGGGTTTTAGTGACCCCCATGACAGTCGGCCTCGGTTCCCACTCTAATTATACCTAAGTAACCTCTAGATATTTCCCTCGTTAATTGGTCCTGTAGCTATAATGATAAGAATAACAAACTGCGAAAGGGTACGTATAGGCTATAAAAACCGTATCACATTCAAATAGATGCCCCTTTTAATAAATAGCATGCGTGTACCAAATACGCCTGTACATGGAGAGCGAAGAGTTAATAATGTTTATGCTTTGAGAAATAGGCACTAAATACAAATCTATAGTTAACTAAGCTACAAACCCGTCCGTAGCAGCCCTCACACACTACGGAGTACTCCTCTCTCGCACCTAGAAATATACTGACTTCTTATTGGGACTGGTGTCACATGTCCCAGTATGACAGTCTCCATCTTTTCCCCTTCTTCTTCAACCAGCAAAAAGTCTGTTGAGGTGACGGTTTCTCGTACCTCATACTCAAGATCGAAACTTGGAAGTAGCCACCATGATAAAACTGTTGAGCCAGCGTCTCAGAGAAAAAGGAACCGAGGAAATAGTGACATTGATTTGGCAAGGACCAAAGCATCATAACAAACGATCGAATGAACCACTACATGAATATGGGTGGAATTGGTATATCTAATCTCCTTCACTTGCCGTGCATTGCCTCATCTTACCTTGGGTTCTACCAGTAGCACTAACACTTCGTGTGAATAGCACGGCGGTACAGATCGCAATTCAAATGCCTTGGCTAAGCATGCAAAGAAGACCTAGTAGAAGGTGGCTAAAAATAGACGCAATATCAAGACCAAGGCCATCGCTTTGCTCACTAGAGAAGTGATAGTGGGAGAGCACCTCCAGAGCTCAACAGCGCATCACACTGGAAAGAACTTGGATGAGCGCACCGAAACAAAGGCCGAAAATGTGGAGTCCAAATTGATTCAAATTGTTCAAGAAGTTTCCCAGGGGGAACGCGAATGTGCTTGAAAAATAGTGGACCGAAGGCCATAAGGATTGATATTTTCTCTATCTTTACGAGGCTCAGTTCACATCCGACCTTATATGCATACACGCTCCGCAATCCCATGGCTTCCATGGTCCATATAAACCTTCCTAGCATCAAACGGAGCTAAATAACCCTCGGCACCTCCGAGGAACAAACGTCAACTGCACTAAGTGTCCCCTTGTTTCGGATCTGGTCGTAACATTGCGGATCAGCAAGTTAAACAACCACGTGAGCAGATTGAGAATGGAACGAGCAGGGGAGGCTAAGCAGCATGGGTAGCTTGATTTACTTGAAGGTGATAACAAGATGAATGGTGTTAGGTGGAGGCACATAGGGCGCCAGGCCCCCAATGGAGACAGTACCTGTGGCTAGTTAGGTCCTTGTCTCCTCCATCTGCTTATCTCTTCGTCCGTCCACTCGGCGAAAGCACATGAATAATATTCACAGCGATTGGATAATGGCTGCGTAGGGCCTCCACTCCTGAGCACTGTCTCCCGAGTTAGTCCGGTGGACCTACATACTATGTACTTTTGAGGAACCTTAAACAAACCTCCGAAGTTCATGCTGCCTCAACAGAAAACCTCCGAGGGTCATGCTGCTTCGACAGATGATTTTTTTTAATCAAGTAGAAAGCAAGTTACTTAGGCAATATGATAGAATATCTTGAGGCATTCTCTCATTTCTATGTTCCCTCTGTATGATGACCTCTGTATGATGAAACCAATTTTATCCATTGAAGAATTATTTACAATTCTACACATTTCATTCATTGATACCCCATAATCTACACCGCAGCCTTTTAGACTGTGTATGCTGCAATATGAAGGAAAAATGAGTAATGGGTCAATCAAACAAGGTTGTAGATCTTTCCGGGATACGCACATTTGGGGGGAATATGTCGTGATCTAAACTATCATGGCACCTTGCCCTACCAACCCGTGGCGTCGAGAACGGAGGGGTCCAAGTAACACTTGAACATAAAGGTGTCTGAAGGAAAACAAGTTCGCTTTTGTTTTAGGATGAGGTGAAATTATTCAAAGCAATTCATTCCCGGGAATCGACAATATGGTGTTGGAGAAGCATGACGAACTGGAAGTAATTACTTCCAGTATACCTTCAACTCCGCCCAATGAGATCAATCGCAATCAATCCGAAAATGAATATAACGCCAAACTGGAGAAAAGAGTAATGCGAAAGATAGATTTCTGGCTCGTTGGATTTTACTCGATTGTATACATCTTCCGCGTCATTGATTCCAGCAACTATTCCAACGCGGCCATCATCAACCTAGAGGCAGGTACTGGAATTAAGAAAGAACTCGGTTTCAGCGCCTCACAATGGTCCTGGACACAGTCTATCTTCTCTTACAGCTACCTGTTTTTCGAACCCACCAACACAATCCTCCTCAAAAGAGTCAAGCCTTCCCGATGGATGTTCGTCCTGATCTTATCCTGGGGTGTCTGCGCCTGCGCTGCTGGTGCTGCACAGGACTTTCCGGGAATGATGTGTGTACGTTTCGCAATTGGACTGGCAGAAGCCGGGTTCTATCCTTCCGTGCTCTACCACATGGCGTTCTGGTATAAGCCCTCTGAGCTGCGCTGGAGAATTGCTCTTTTTTACTCTCTTGGTCAGGTATCTGGCGCATTGAGTGGCCTGCTGGCATATGCTATCAGCTTTATGGATGGAGCCGGCGGGCTATCAGGGTGGCGATGGCTTTTTATCCTCGAAGGTCTTCCCGCAATCGTGTTGTCTGTGGTCGCATTATTCGGTCTTCCAGATTACCCAGAGACAGCCCGCATGTTGACGGAAGAGGAGAGGACTTTCCTCAAGGGGCGTCTTTCTTCTTCAGCACCCTCTGGTAAAGACAAAAGCTGGAGCTGGGCGGATGTAAAAGCACTCCTCTCAAGTCCAACATTCTACACATTCACGGTCTACTGGATTGGACATGGCATTGGAGGATTTGGAGTGAATTACGCTTTGCCTACTGTTATCTACGAGCTTGGCTTTACTACGACCGCTCTATCACAGCTGATGAATATTGTGAGTTTGAGTTATTCTAAGCAAACAAATCACGCTAACTTAGCTTTTAACCAACAGCCTCCCTACGTCGCATGTTTTTTCTTCTTGAATATTCTCGGGTATTTACTACACAAAGGATGGATTAGACCCTGGACCACAGCTGTCGCGAGTAAGCATGACTACTCCGTATTGTGCATGAATTCACTACTAACAACAAAAACAGTCGAGAGCACTATAATCATCTGCTACATTATCCTGATTACAGTTTCCAACTCAGTCGTCAAATACCACGCCTTGATAGTAGCCACCGCTTGTGCCGGATCTGCGTACCCTGTCATCTGGCCAGAACGCATTCGAGCTCTCGAGGGCACAGTGGCCGTGGGAATGGGTATTGGACTGACGAACGCCATGGCTCAGTTTAGTGGTATTGCTGGGCCTCATGTATACAGTACGGTGTTTGGACCGACGTATCGAGTGTCATACGTTATCTGTCTTTGTTTCCTCTGTGCGGCGATCTCGGGGATTCTGGCTTCGTGGTGGCTTGTCTGGCGGAAGGATAAGAAGAATGAATTAGGGACTGCACTTGAGCAAGATGCATGATCACTGGGTATTTATTCGAGGTTATGTGGCCTAAAATATATATATTGAAAAGGGAAACCCTTAGGGCTGTATGCTCTCTGACATAAGGATCGAAGCGCTCGTAATTCACCTGTACTTTAGATATCACCACTTTTTAGGGCCCTTTACAGTTTATAAGGAGGCCTCATAATATTAGTTTTAGATATTGTTTTAGATATTCTTTTAGATGTCTGTTTATATGTTCATAACCCTAGAAAAGCAATATAAAACCAACCTTGTAGGCTAGCAAGGATTGAACATAGGAAATATTATGAGTACACAAACCTGAATATCAATCCCCAGGCAGCCAAAGGAAACCACTTCGGATCCTCTCACCCGCGATCACTCTCAACAACGTGACGTGCTCTCTAGCATTCAAGTTCTCTCTATTCGGCCTTTCCTTTTCCTACACCTCTCCTACTCCTCCTCATCAAACTTCTCACCACATTGATCGCTCATCCCACAGCAAGTTGAACATAAAACACCTGCTAATCTCGTTTTCCTGGGCCTCCACTCTGACAACCATGCCACACACGGGTCCCATGGACTTCCAGGCCCTCATCCTGTGTGGCCCTGGTGGTTCACTCAGCACATTCACCTCCAGACCTGAGGAGTATCCAAAGTGCCTCATTCAAGTCGCAAACAGACCCATGGTATTCTATGCCATTGACTTTTGCAGAAGATCAGGTATCACTGGTAAGTCCCAATCCCCTCGCTGTCTCTCAACCTACCTTACATCGAACCAAATTGGCTAATTGTATCCCAGATATTACGTTGATCACGCCTCCACTGTCCTTCCTTCCCCTCAGGGCCGCCTTGGATCAAAATCCATACCTTACCAGATTCTACTCACCCTCGGTCTCGGTCATCGCACCAAAAGACCTCGAGATGACAATGGGAACCGCGGAGCTGCTCCGCCTCCCTGAAGTGCAGAGATGTATAACCACCAACTTCCTTCTTCTTCCCTGCGACCTCGTCTGTGAGATTCCTGGTCAATCAATCATCGAGGCATGGATTGCCAATCAGTGGATCCTCGAGAATAACATCGATTCTAATGGGGTTCACCATGCATCTCCAACTACTTCATACTTCGATCGTCAACTAGAAGCTCGCTCCGGCGGTCTAGCTGTTTACTACCAAACGAAAAACCGAGAGGAGAGCATCCAGGCAGAGGCTACTGATTTCATAGCTGTCTCCCCTCTCCAGCAGCACGAAGCACCCGTTGTTCCCGGCCCCGAGGGTCCTTTGATCCCACGATTCGGTCTCTCCAAACTCCTGATGTCAATGCCAATGGATACAATCAAGGATAAAATGAAAGAAGAAAAAGGTCTCCTTGTTCGCCATTCACTCGTCAATAATTGTCCCCACATCAGAATGCTCACCACCTTCCGCGATGCCCATGTTTACGTCTTCCCATACTGGGTCAAAAATCTAGTCCACCACCAAAAGAGACTGGAATCCGTCAGCGAGGATTTGGTCGGTACATGGGCCAAGTCGACATGGCAGAAAGGTCTCGGCGACAAGCTAGGATTGACGAAGGACTTCAACGAAGATACCACCCGCACCCAGGAGAGAGAGCTTACACCCGAAAGCAACCACACTGGCGCATTCGTCGATAAAGCTATCGACATCAGGGAAATGAGCACTACTCGAGCCCGTTCAAACTCTGAAATGCAGCTAGACCAGTTTTACTCATCCACCGAACTGCCAGAAATGCTAGCTTATGTCCACCGAGGATCAACCCCGTTCATTCGACGAGTCGATAACACAGCCGTCCTTCTTTCAACCTCCCTTCTCCTGGCCAAACTGCCCTCTATCGATGAAGTGGGTCGCAAGGAAGCGTCGCCTTTTGCCCACGCCCATAAAGTTGCTTACCCCGAGGGCGTCGATTCGCCGAGCAATGTTACGAAGAAGGACTGTCTGCTCGGTGACAATGTGATTGTTGCACCTGGTGCCGTTATCAAGGAGAGTGTGATTGGTGCAAACTGCCGGATTGATGGCGCTGCCCGTATCATTCGTTGTGTTTTGATGGAGGGTGTTGTTGTTGAGAGGAGGGCTGAATTGACCGGATGTGTGATCGGTCGACGAGCTCAGATTGGCCGCCAATCTGTGCTGAGGGGCTGTGAGGTCCAGGATGCCAATGTGCTTCCGAAGGGAACGAACGCTAGGGATGAGAAGTTTATGGTTTCTGCGGAGTTGTGTGTCTAAGGGGGGATGATGAGCATCCATTCACTGCCAACTGGCGTGTTTGCTAAAAAGGTGAAATTGCAGTCGACTAAACAGAAAATAGGAAAAAAAAGGAAAAAATCCCATTTGACGATCAAAACAGGTGTCTCCCTTGTATCTGATGAGTTGAGTAGCGACACGTTATTCAATGAACACCTTCTCGCTGTACACAATGTCGAACAATCCCGCCAATGCCAAAATTTACTTGGCTCAATGCCCTTCTATATGTTGAATTAGACAAAGCATGAAGATAAGAGTGAAACCTAGATTGAAATATCTCTTCTGTATTTTCTAGGCTCTCTCCGAACTGTATATAGCGACAGTCATCCCCTCAAAACTCTTCCCAGTCAACAGACGTGCAAACAGATTTATTGCAGTACGAGCGAAGGCCGCAACAGGTTAAATCTAGCAATATTCAACCCAAGCATCTAGATTCATATTCTTGATGACAGTGGAGAATTTGTCGGCGCTGGCCGCGTTGCAGGCTGAGGTCTTCAGCGTGGAGGAGAGAACAGCCCTGGCTCGGAGCTTGTGGTGACCATGACCGTATTGGTGTTTTCGCTCCTTGATGGCATCGGCACTGGTGTTATCTTCCTCGTCGTCTTCATCGTCCTCGTCGTCATCCTTATCCTCGTCGTCATCCTCATCCTCATCGTCATCCTCATCCTCATCGTCATCCTCATCCTCATCGTCTTCCTCTTCATCTTCGTCGGCCTCCTCGTCGTCACCATCAGTGTCAGTGCTGCCAGTTTTGGTAGCATCATCATCCGTGCTGGTTGCAGCGGTCACAGCAGAGGTAGAAACAGGGGTAGCATCGACAGTGGCAGTGGCAGTGGCAGTGGCAGTGGGAGAAGAGCTGGAAGCAGGGGTAGCGATAGCAGTGGGAGTGGAAGTAGCCTTGCTATCAGTGGTAGTCTCGGTGGCCGAGACAGAAGTATCATCAGAGCTACCAGACTCAATAGTCTCCCCAGAATATTCAATATGGAAAACTGGCTTATTGACTTCTGTGAAGGCAGCGTATGTCTCACACTCGTCATACTCCGCACACTGCTCATTAACCGACCACTGCATCTTATCAATAACAGAGCCGATAATATCACCGCCATTCTTCAACCCGATCGACATGCCACGGGAATGCGACTCGGATGCCAGGAAAGTCAAGAAATCAATCGAATCAGCCTCTGTCAACCCGAGACCATTCTCATTCCCATACGCATCGATATTATCCGGGTCAACACCATCACAGCCCTTCTGCTTTGCCATATCCAGCCGTGAGCTCATGATCGCGCGAACGCTACTCGATTTGATGTTTAGCCATCGCTCACCTGGCCACTCGTCAAGGTTGCTGCCGAAGTCTGCGGTGTCGAACTTGCTAATGTCCGGGCGCCAGTCTTCGTATGTACCGGCTGAGAAGTAGCAGATGACTTTGTGGCCTTTGTTCTGGAGAGTGGTGATTGTTTCAGCGGTGTTGTCGAAGAGATCGATGTCCCAGATGTCGGCGTCGATGGTGGTGTCTTCGACGGCATCAACGAGTTGGATTTGCCATTTCACTCCGGCTGCTGGTTGCCAGATGGTGGGGGTACTGGTGCTGGTGGTGTCGCGCTTGGACATCTTCTGGTTGCTTCCAGCTCCGAGCTCAGCTCGGATGTTCATCCCGATGGTAAGGAAGAAGAGGCCCAGAACGCAGGATACTATGAGCTTTCCCTTGGTGGCTAGAACCTGCCAGCCCGAGGTTTGGGGAGAGTTCATCATTTTGATAAAATTGGTTTAAGTCGAAAGGAGTGTAAGAAAGGAATGTGTGTGTACAAAGGAATGGATAGACAACTTGAATCCAGCAAGTGTCAGGGAAAGGAGAGACTGAATGATGGTGAGGATAGAATGTGGGACATCATGAGTAGATCCCCAATACTTATAGTGGTTCAAATTCTGATGAGAAGTTATTTGGTGTATATCCTGCATCAAGCGGTTTCAGATTTCCACATATGGCATCGAAGGCATAAGGCTGGGGATCGCCTAGGATGATCGAGCCACTAGCGGGGGGACGTTAAACGAAGCCAAGCAAAATAAAAACCCCGTTATTTCAGAGATCGGGCCAGTAGGAGTGATAGTTTCGAGCAAACGGGGGATAAAATTGAAGGAGATCAATCCCGAAGAAGATGGGAAAGATGAAACACCCGCCAAGAAACGCCTTGCGGCAGATGTAGTCCGTTAATTTGCGGATATTCCCCCTTTGAGCGAAGTCATACAATCTGAGTGATTGAACTGGTCCAGGATGCAATCTTTTAGTGTCAATATGTCCCACTCGGATGGTCCGGCAGCTCTCGTACCTGTTGTCTTTAATTAATTTAACACGGGTTCAGATCTATAAAGTGCCATACTAACTTGATAGATCGCAACCTCAATTTCCACCTGAGATAGTCTCCGAATAGTATCTAAATTTGAAGGGAAACATGCATATCGGAGAATTGTCAAATATTGAAATGATCTGTGGGAGTCCACTTAAGAAATCAAAATTTGTACAAAATACCCGATCTCAACGGCATTAGCGTGATGCTTTAATGGAGTTGGACCAATTATATAGAACTGCTTCTTGGCCACATGGCTTCTGGCCCCTTTGGCCCCCTTGGCCCCTACAGAGGATTTCAAAAGGTCAAGGGAGTCAAGAAATATCTCCGATCTGCCTTGGCACATTGCCAAGGGCGCTTACGTTTGACACAGGTTCTCATCTCAGACAGGTCTCGCCGGAGACAGTTGGCTTCCTTAATAGCATTTTTTTCCTTTCTATATTCATATATGGTATTCCGTGCTTAAAGAATAGAGTATATAATTGGATAAATAAGTGTGAAATGTGAACAAAATCCGGTATAAAATCTGTATTTTGGGCTATCTCCAACCGTTTGCACATATTTATTTCAGGTCAGACCAATTTAACATGCATCCCTGTAATTAGTCTATTGGCCATCATACACCTCATATCCATACTTCCTCCCAACATGGTCCTCCCGCAAACGCTTTTGCCCAGGCCCATACACCCTCTCCCGCATTGTACCACTCTCACCCTGGGGCGCGTATACCCCTCTCCTCCTCAATTCCGGCACCAGAAGCTCAACAACATCCTCAAACGTGCCAGGTGTCTGCACATATCCAATATTAAACCCATCTAAATCCGCCACTCGGACCCATTCTTCTAAAAAGTCCGCAACAGTGCTCGCGGAACCAACAGGAACAGGCCCCGCCCCACCAATCGAGATATGTTTCCCGATATTCCTCGGTGTCCATTCAGGCACATCGGGACTCTGGTAGGAGAGTGTATTAATCGTGGAATGAACACGGGCGTCAACATGTACATCTGACGCCGTAATAGGTGTGTCTAGATCAATTCGGCTAAGATCTATACCGGTTCCACCGGAAAAGAATGCAAGTCCTGCTTCTTCGCTCGCGTATTTTAGGGCATAGCGGTACTTTTCCTGCGCCTCCTCATCGGTCCGACCTACAATCGGTGTGAGGATCGCGAATACTTTCACTGATGTAGGGTCTCGGCCGAGCTTGGCGGCTTCCTCGCGGATGGCCTTGATGCGTGGTGCGAGGATGTGCGGTGAAGGGGCTGAGACGAAGATTCCTTCTGCGTGTTTCGCGCCGAAGGCGACGCCTGCTGGAGATGTGCCTGCCTGGAAGAGGAAGGGGGTGCGCTGTGGAGATGGATCTAGGATGTGAGGGCCATCAAATTTGAAATGCTCGCCGTGGTGGTGGATGTAGTTGATGCGACTTGGGTCGGCATACACGCCTGTTTCAGCATTCTCTTGGAGAGCGTCGTCGGCCCAACTGCCCTCCCACAGTCTATTACAGGTAAGTATGTTTCATACCTGTCGATAGTTCACTTTTGCTTACTTATACAATGAGGTCAGGTACTCATCGGCAATTTCATACCGCTTGTCGTGATCCACCAGAGGCAATCCCACCTATGGATGTCAATTTTTGGTAATAATTCTGCCAATGGGTATACTCACGGCCTTTGCAGCAGACTCCTTCCACGAGGTCACAATATTCCACCCAAACCGGCCCCCAGTTAAATGGTCCAAAGTCGAAAACCTCTTCGCCACAACGTACGGAGCTTCATATGAAGTGGAGGTGGTGATGGCAAACCCTAGATTTTTGGTGACCGAGGCCATTGCGGAAATTGGCTAGTACATCTATCATCAGCAACCCAATTGGGCCCACAGAACCGACTGTTAACTTACAATAGAAGGGTCTCCCATGGGATACTGGGCTCCATTCCGAATAGCCGGTTCTGCGGTCCCCTTGTACGTATCATATAGACCATATGTGTCGGCAAGGAACAACGCATTGAAATCGCCTTTCTCGAGCAATTGGGCCAGATTCGTCCAGTAGGACAGGTCTCGTCGCTTGGTTGCTGACCGATCGGAAGGGTTCCTCCATTGACCGAAGGAGAGATGGCCTACCGTGAACATGTCGAAGCCATTGAGGTATATCCGCCGCTTGGGTTGTGAGCTTTCAGCTGACATTATACAATGTTGTCTTTCAAGCTGAACCTGATTTTATTTTCAATATGTCCGATCAGATCAAATCTGATTGATAATTGTCCAAGTCCAGATGTTGCTATATGTTGATTTTATTTATGTGCCCTATTCCGAACAACCCCGCTCGACATTAAGCTGCTGTCATCTCTCCAACAAAGCACGAATACCCAACCCCATCGTATCGGGTGTCCTAAAGTTCTCGCCAAGTGAGATAAGCATTGCTCTTGGACCCCTCTAGTACGGAAGAAGTCCGAACAACGTCCGAATAACGTAGTCTACAGCAGGATCGCGTCATTTACTCTTGTAAAATCATACGACAGGTTGAATCTATTCCTACAGATATCGGGATGTGAATACTTTATCTTTGCTTTGAAGTACTTCTTGTGGTGTTAATTTAGTTTTATATGGCGCAATCACTATATCGGTACCTAATTCATACAGACTGCCGCCAACCTTACAACAACCCCTTATCGCCGGGGATATGATGCCATATAGACTCATATCTCACAAAACAGGCGAGATTAGATCTATAGAAAAGTAATGTTAGTTAAACTATAAAAGTCCGGTTTTTTGAATTGAAATTCTGTGTTAGTTCCAGAATATCTTAAATCCCTTTGGAACAATGGCGGGCTTTGTATCACGCCTAGAGAGTGCCACACGATGGTTCCCTGTCAGTATGCCATTGGTGGAGCGCAAGCTCGTTCGAAAATTGGACTTGCTTGTTCTTCCATATGCCTGTTTGTCCTTTTTTGTCAAGTATTTGGACGTTTCGGCATTGAGTATGTATACCTCAGGCATGGCGAGAATGATATACTAACAAGTGAATAGCCAATGCGTATGTTTCTGGAATGAAACAGGATCTGGATCTTTCTGGAAATAGACTAAATTACATCAATGCGGCATGTGAGTACATTACCTCTTTTGTGTTCTCCCCAGTGGGATGAAGTGTGTCGATTTTCATTGTTATGCTGATCATGGTTGCCATGTAGATGAAGTTGGATATGTCGTGTTTCAAATCCCCAGCAACATGGTCTTGATCAAATACCCGTAAGTAACTGATAAATGACAAAAGAAGACAATCATCACAAGTATTTTCAAGCTAATATTCGTCACAGGGCGCAATACTACCTCCCAGCTGCAGAGATCTTTTGGGGCCTTTTCACTCTCGGAACAGCCTTTGTGCAAACTTACGAGCAGTTGGTAGTAATGCGATTTTTCGTCGGATTGAGCGCTACTTCATGTTATGTGGGCTTGGTACACGTAGTAAACTCGTTCGTTATGAATCCTGAATACCGGAAATTCGAAGCATTCTAACTTGCGTTTACAGATGGTATAGGAAAGAAGAACTTGGACGTCGGAATGCACTTTTCTGGATTGCAAATCCCATTGGCCAGATGTTTGCAGGATACCTACAAGCTGCTGCATATACACATCTCAACAATAATCATGGGTTACAGGGTTGGAGGTAAGTTTACCACCGCATGTCAAGCATTCCAAATCGCCCCCATGCTTACTATCGTCACCTAGATGGCTTTTCATTATCTGCACTGTTATTACACTCCCTATTGCTCTGTTGTAAGTATAGAAAGACTCTTGGAATTTGCCCAAATATCCAACTAACGCGGATATCCAGCGGCTTCCTTATCTTCCCCGACCTGCCCGAGCGCACAAAATCTCGCTTCCTCAGCACAGAAGAAAAAGCCCTTGCCAACAAAAGACTCCAGGAAGAAGGATTCAAGCCGTCTACTGGCCTTAACAAAACAATCATCAAAAGAATCTTCACATCATGGCGATTCTACGCCTTCGTGCTCCTTCTACTTATTTTCTGCAACATGGCTTACTGCGAAGGCACTCCATTCATCCTCTGGCTCGACTCCCAGCCAGACAAGTACCCCGTCGCCCTTGTGAACAATTTGTCCACTGTCACGAATGGTGCGGCAGTAGCTGGTGCATTGATGATGAGCTTTTACTCTGATATCCGGGGATCTCGCACAGAGCCTATCATCTTGTCTGGAATACTGTGCATTTTTGCGAATCTGGTACTCTCAATTTGGAACATCCCTGATGGTCTCAAATTCTTCGCTTATATATCAGTGGGATGGTCTTACGGGGCAATTCCGGTACTGATTGCATGGACTGCGGAGGGACTTGCTGGAGATGCGGAGGTTAGGGCTCTTACTCTTGCTTCCTATAATTGTATCGGGGAGATTACTA